GGGGACTGGTTCTAGGATACCGCCCCCACACCATACCAGAATCTGTGGATGCTCAATCCCTTACATATAATGGTGCAGTATTTGCATATAACCAACATACATCCCCCCATATACTTTACTTACTTGGAGACAGGATCGTCCTCTGTCACTTAGGCTGGAGTGCAGTGTCACAATCACAGCTCACTGCAGCCTCAACCTCCTGGGCTCCAATGATCCTCCCACCTCAGTCTCTTGGGTAGCTGGCACTACAGGTGCCTACCACCACACCTGGCTATTTTTTTTATTTTTATTAAAGACAAGGTCTCACTATGCTGCCCAGGTTGGCCTCCCAAAGTGTTGGGACTACAAGTGTCAGTCAACATGCCTGGTCCCACGTACTTTAGGTCATCACTAATAAAACGTATAGCTATTGTACAATGGTAACAGTTGTTATACTGTACTTTCTATTTGTATTTTTATTGTTTCTTTTTTCAAATATTCACCTTATCCAGTTGAATCTGAAGATGTGGACCTGCTGATGAAGAGGGCTAACTGTATCTAACTTAGGGTCTTGCATGCAGCTGACACTTAATGCATTTTATTGACTGTTTTAGCTAACATTCAATGGACAATTCCTAATAAAAAACTCTTAAAAGTATGAAAAAAAGAAAACCTGCTCTAAAGTGGCAGGAAAACCAGCCTGGGCAACATAGCGAGACCTTGTGTCTACAAAAAAAGTTTTAAAATTTCACTGCCTGCCTGTAGTCCCAGCCACTCTGGAAGCTGAGGCAGGAGGATCCCCTAAGCCCAGGAGTTTGAGGTTACAGTTAGCTAGATTACACCATTGCCCTCCAGTCTGGGTGACAACAAGGCCCTGAGAAAGAAAAAAAGAGAAAGGAAAGGAAGGAAAGAGTGTAAGTATTTAAAAGGAAGAGGCAAAACTATCATTATTTGCATATAAAACAATAAATGTTAGCAAAAGAAGCCTAAGGGAATCAACTAAGATTTTACTGGAAGTAATATGAGAATTCAGTACAGTGACTAGAAACAAATTCAAGAGAACAGCACACAGAAGTCAAATACTTGTCAGATGTACCACCAATAACTAATTAGAAAATGGAAATAAGTCCCATTTACAATGGCAATACAAATGTATGAAGTATTTAGGAAGAAAAATACAAAGATCTGTTATGTAACAAAAGACGTGTAAGATCTGTATGATGGAAACCCTAAAACTCTTCTGAAAGACATTAACAAGAAATGAATAAATGACGTGAAATACCATGTTCCCAGAATGTTGTACAGATGTCAATTCTCAAATTAATCTACAAATTTAAGGTAATCCTATTCAAATTCCAAGATAGTTTTTGGTGGTAGCTGTTTTTAAGACAGGGTCTCGCTCTGTTGTCCAGGCTAGAGTGCAGTGGTATGACCACAGCACACTTCATCCTCAACCTCCCAGGCTCAAGCAATCCTCCCACTTCAGCCACTGAAGTCTCTCATATGGTGTCCAAGAAATGGGGACAAATCTCACAAAGGGACTAGGCTCAGGAGGGCTGGGATATTCAGGGAAGGTGGTTTTTTGGTTTTGTTTTGTTTTTGCTTTTTTGTTTGTTTGTTTGTTTTTTGAGACAGAGTCTCGCTCTGTCCCCCAGGCTGGAGTGCAGTGGCCGGATCTCAGCTCACTGCAAGCTCTGCCTCCCGGGTTCACGCCATTCTCCTGACTCAGCCTCCAGAGTAGCTGG